GAGAACATTTCCCCTAAGGACTGTATGGGCTGAATCTCATAGGTCTTGGTGTCTTCTTTCAATGTTATCACTTTTTTTGGATAGAATTATTTCTGATTTGTTCTTTGATCCACTTATTAGTCTCACTTTATTTAGTTTCTATTTCAATCTGAATCTTTTTAAAAATTATCTTATTGGACACAATTTTCATCATATCATCATCTAGCAAGAGTATGTGTTTATGTCTGCCTTTCAGCCTGTTTCTGAGGTCCTTATTACCCTAGCACAGGGTCAATTTTTGCAACAGTGCCATGGGAAAAATGAAAACTAGCTATGCACCTTGCACTTCCCATTCAGTAATCATGAAAGATCTACCTTAATGGCTTATTTTGTTCAGATCCTTAACTTCTTTCTTGTAAACATTTATTTCTCTTAGATTTGCTTAAATCTGATCTCATTGCTTTAGAGCCAGAAGAGGCCTCAGTTCAGCCCCATCATTTTCCAATGAAACTGGGTCTCAAGAAAATTAAGGGACTTGCCCATCAGAGAGGCATTAAACTCCAGAGGTAGGATTGGAAGCCAGATTCTCTGACCCCAAAAGCCAGTGTTTTTTTTGTGTTTTGCTCTTCTCCCTGTGCTGCTTCCTGTAAGTACAATGCTCTTCAGTATATTTAACATGAAATAACATATTTAACAAATATATTATTTCAGCCTTTATGGTGTCTTTACATAAAACGTACCTCAACTGCTTATCTCTATCAACCATGTATATTTTATTTTGTTTTTTTTTTTTTTAGTAAATAGTATTTTTTCAATTACATGTAAAGATAGTTTTCAACATTCATTTTTTTTAATAAGATTTCAAGCTCCAAATTTTTCTTCTTCCCTCCCATTCCCCCTCCCCAAGACGGCAAGCAATCTGATACAGGTTATACATGTGCAAACAAGTTAAACATATTTCCTCATTAGTCATGTTGTGAAAAAAGAAACAGAAAAGGGAAAAGCCATGAAAATCAAAAAAACAAAAGTAAATGAAAATAGTATACTTCAGTCTGCATTCATACTCCATAGTTCTTTCTCTGGATGTGGATAGGATTCTCCATCACGAGTCTTTCGGAATTGTCTTTGGTCATTGTATTGCTGAGAAGATTTAAGTCAATCATAGTTGGTCATGGTACAATGCTGCTGTTACTACATACAATGCTCTCCTGGTTCTGCTCACTTCACTCAGCATCAGTTCATGTAAACCATGAATGTTTTTATATTCTAAGGGAAATTTATTTTATTTTAGTAGTATATATTTTAATGCTGTGATTCATGACTGCCACCCGTTTTTTTAAAAATCTAGCTGAAGTATAAGATTCTTCCTTTATTAACTCTGCAGGATATAACAATAATAATATTTATATATGCTTACTATGTACCAGGCACTGTACTAATTGCTTTATAAGGTGCAATTATTATTTCATTTGATCCTCACAACAGCCCTGGAAGGTAGGTGCTATTACTGTCCTTATTTTACTGAGGCAAACTAGAAGTGAACTGACTGGCTTGCCTAAGGTGACCTAGCTAGTAAATGTCTGAGGCTGCATTGGAACTCGGGTCTCCCTGACTCCAGGACCAGCACTCTATCCACTGCACCACTAAAGTGTGTGTGTTTCTTCTGAACAACAAATTGTTAAGTTTTGCTCTCCAGTCTATTCTGAAAGCCCTTCCATTTTATGGGCAAGTTCATCCCATTTACATTCATGGTCTGCTCACCTCCATCATGATGTATTTCTGCCCCTTAATCCCTCTTTAACAATAGGAGTGTGTGTGTGTGTCTGTGTGTATGTGTAGGAGACTGGAATGAAACAAACAAGACTCTTCCCTCTGGGTTCAGCCCAGACCCAGATCATTGGGTTCTGCCCTCTCTCCCTCTTGCCAGCTACTTTATCACCTTTTCGTAAGGAGATTCACCTAGTTAAAAATCTCCTTAGCTTGTGTTTGCCTCTCCTCCCTCTCCTCTCTGTTAAGCCACCATCTTCCTCTCACTCCCAACCTTGCCCTGGTACAAATAAAAGGGAGGTTTGTGAGAATCCTCACTCCCCGGTGCACCGCCTCCATGCTTCTTTTCTCACAGTGGATCCATTACTAAAACCAGAATGATTTCTACAATATCCTTTGTACTCCTTTCCCTCTTCCTCCATTCCTCCCTACATCCTTTATCCTCCTCTCCTGGCTTCCTTCCCTAGACCACTAGCATGTCTTTATTCCCTGACTCTTGGAGATGGTGGATTTCTAAAGGACCAGTGGCTCCATCACATTCCCAGCACCCACTCCAGCCTCCTACATTTTCTCATGAGAAAAATGGTGAAAGACCTTGCCTGAGCTACCCATCCCATTGCACTCCTGGCACCATGTCAGACCTCTGACAAGTCCACATCAGCTACCTGGCCCACTCCACGCACTTATTAATACCAATTTCCAAGAATGACTCAGCATTATCAGTAGACAGGGACACGAGCACAGACTTAGAACATGGTAATAGTGACAGGCAAGCCTAATTGGACTGCTACTTCTCTTTCCTACGAGCTCCTATCCTTGACATATCCATTTTAACCTTCACCTCCATGTTAGTGCGCCCTGCTCTTGCTTTCAATGTCAGAGGGTTCCTTCAAGCCAGCAGCATTTCAATGTTGATTATTAATTTCATACAAAACTACAATAGTTTCCCCCAATTTCTCAATTGATTTTTCTTGGGATTTGGAATTCATAAAAGGAGGTAACTTCCCAAGAAATGCTACTAAGAATCCCATGGAAGTGTGGAGGTTGGAGTGGGGAGAGCCTAGAGGCAAGGAGACCAATTAGAATATTATCTTAATAGTACCAGCTAGATTTAGTCCAGAACCAAGATGGTGGCTGTATGACTGGAGAAGGGGACATGAGAGGGTATCAAGACTTGATGGACTGGATATGCAGGGTAAGAGAGGAACCCTGGAGGACACTGAAGGCCCAAACCTGGGGACATTAGTAATACAGAAGTTTAGAAGCCCACCTCTCCCTCTCCTCTCCTCCCCCTATAGAGGTGAGGCATGAATTGGATATGCTCAATCTGAGGAAGCTTGTTGAAAAACCAGTTTAAGGAGAGAGCCTAAGGCTGGAAATGTAACCTAGTAATCACCTGCATAAAGATAATCACCCCTGGAGTGTGAAGAGATCACTGAGAGCTAGCATAGAGAACAGAAACCCAAGACAATGTTGGAAGCCACCAAGCTAGTATGGGGTGTGGTAAAGATGAGGACTCTGTAAAGGAGACCGAACGCCAGCTAGGAAGGGCAGTGGTAAGTGGGGGTGTCTGGAGGTCAGTTAGGATCGAACTTGCGTCTGAAGGCAGGAAGTAGTATGGAGCCCCTCCAGAGTCATGAGACACTTCACAATAGCCAGCATCGAGTAACAGCTGGCACTCCTAAAGGCTCCTTTAGGTTTGTAAGTCTTCACACACAGGATCTCACTTGATCCTCAAAACGACCTTGGATCATCCTCTTCTACAGATGTGGAAACTGAGGCTGGCAGCAGTGAAGTGACTTCGGGTCACAGACCTTTGAAGTGTCTGAGGTTGGACTTGAACATGGGTCTTCCTGACTACAGGTCCAGTATCCAGTGCACCAACTCTGTAACAGACAATCCACCCCCAATTTTGTGGGCTTGCTCCTTCTCGTGTAAATCAAAGGCAAATGGACTAGATGACCCCTTCAATCCTAGGAGGGGTGTGAAGGGCTGTTGCGCTGAGGCTTGGCCCTTGAGGACAACATGGCATCTTCTGGTTTAATGTAAGAACAAAGACACTTCCTTTTCAGCAAGCTCTCCAGATGAGAAGTCAGGACTCAAACCCAGCTCTGGCACTGCACCCCACACGTAACACAGAAGAAAGTCAGCCAGACTCTCCATGCTGATCCAGGCTCCTCTTGGGGTCGCCCCTTTGCACAGCTCAGATCACACCTCCTCAGCCAGGGCTTTGCACTAGGCTGGGTGAGGAGGCCATTACTGGACGACCTGGATGTCCCTTAAACCTCTTGGGTTAAGATGGAGATGACCACAGCAGCCAGGCTGAGAAGGGACCTCAGAAGCTATCAATAAGTTCCAGAGGAATTCGGTCCATTGAACATCAGCTTTTACTGCAAGCCTGCAGTTGAGGGGGTCCCATCACGTCCATTGGGTAGTGATTTGAAAACATCCCACTTCTCTCAGGATGAGCAACACCAGCCCCTTCGTTGGTCTCTTAGCAATTCCCCCTGATCATTGGGCCCCTTGCAGAACCCAGAACTCCAGATGTGGTCCAACTAGCAGCCACAATGAACTGACTCGTCCCCTGCACTCTGGCAACGAATGCAACCTGAAACCCCGTGCTAGCTCGCGGGGCACCCTGGCATTTCCGAGTGTCTACTGAACCTCTGAGGATCAGAGCTATAGGGGTGGATCTCTGAGAACCCCCTCATTTTACAGCTGAAGGAACCAAGGCTCAGAGTCCAGCCCAAGCACCGAACTTGTGTTTCGAACCTGGCCAGGCACGAATGCTCCCCATCCTCCACTTACGCCCATGCTCGTCCCTGCTGGCAGTGTTCCTATTTCTTTCCTGCCCTTCGCATTTCATCCTTATTTAACCCTAGGTCCACAGAGAAAGACGTCGCAGGCAGGATCTGCAGTCAGCACCAGGACAGTGACTGTTTGTTTCCCCAGTGCCAACCTGTGGGCACTTGGTGTATGTCTGCCAAATGGTGCCGACTGAGAGTCTGATGGCGAGACTACCCTTTTTATATGGCAAGATGTGCGGCCCCATGGTGGGTATTCACAGCCCACAGAATCAACAAAGATAAATAAATGTGGAGGTACCTGTCTGTTTTCCCGGTCATCTCAGGCCCTCCAATGACAAGATAATTGGAGCAACACTGCTCTTCCACATCCTGTCCCTAACTGACTAAGCTCCAGGAGGACAGAAATTATTTTTATTTCACCACTAAGCTGAAGAGTACAAAGGCAAATGAGCAAAGAGGATGGTCCCACTTTATTGACACAGTACCTTAGGAAGTCGGCCACCCAGGACACACACCCAACCAAGAGCAAGGACAAGAAGGGGGCAAGCAACAGCTTCCTCTGGACAGCTCTGCTTGAGGCAGCGAGTCCACAGCTGGTTCCTGGCGCACATTTCCACTTCATGGCCCACGGCCTTGCTACAAGCCCCGCTCCTGTCTAAAGGTGAGAGGCGACATCTGGTCTGCAGAATGCCAAAGATGGAGGGAACTTTGGGTCATGGGTCTCTGCCTGCACTTGCTAAGGGCAAAGGTCACCTTCCCATGATTCAGAGCTAGGGGCTGAGGGATGGCTAAAGCAACATGCCAGCTAGAGCAACAAGGTGGTGCCTATGGTTTTCACCTATTTCTAAGCCAAAAACATCAGGTCTGTGTAAGTGAGACCTGTGGGGCAGGGTCTGAGTCTGCTCTGGGTCCTGGCAACAAATGGGATGGGGATGGGCAAATCTACTAGGGTGCTTGGCCCAGGTGGGCTGGGGTGGTGGGGTGGACAGTGCTGCCTAAAGGTAAAGGTCAGCCCCATCTTTCCAAGAAGACAGCAAAGATCTTTGCCAAGAGCTGTGACCACTCAATACATCACCAAGTCTCTCCCAAAGATTGCTGCCATCTCCAGCATTAAAGCTCTATTAAAAAGAGAAGCCATTTTAGACAAGGGCTGAGAAATTTAATCTTCCCTTCACCTTCTCTACACTGAAAATAGACTGCAAAGACCCCAGCCTGTTCACTAGTGTAGATCGAGGCACACCCCAGAGCCTCCCCAAACAAGGACCATGTGGAGCCCGGTGCTATATGTCTGTAGGGAAGAGAGTCTGGAAACTGGAGCAAGCCAGCTTTTCCCAGAGGGACAGGACAGGCTGCTAACTTTGTCTGTCCCCAGCTCTTGGGAAGAGGGAGTCCTGCTCAGACAAGCACCACGACTGAGGACTTTTAGGGGTACAAAGGATGTGTGTAACACTTCCACTGTTTGACAAAGAAGCCAACAGACCCCAGAAAGCAGGCGCACATTTAGGAGGCTGGCCACAAAGCCCCACTGCCTCAGGAGGCGCAGCACCCCCTGTGCCCGAAACCAGCCCTTGTCAAAGCAGACTGTACTACCTCTGGCTACTCTCCACCAGGCCAACACCCCCCAAATGCCTTAATTCATTGTCATTAACACGCTCCACACGTCAAGGCCAAAGTTGCTTTTCAAGAATGCTACAAAAATCTCACCAAAGCGTTACAGCACAGCTCCACAGCCAGCCACACACTGAGAAAAATCAATTCCCTAAAAACTTTTGCGGGTGCCAAGAAGGAAAAGAGGGAGAGAAGGGGGAGTCTTGGTATTAAAAAAGGTCTCTTTTTAAGGGTTTTAAGACTAGGGTAGAAAAACAAATAAAAATGCACTCAAGGCAGTAAACCCATTAAAATCGGCCAATCACGGCTTCAGTTTGTAACTGTTGTGCACTAGCAGAGGATTTCAGTTAAAAGAATAACTGTCATCAGTTAATGTTTATCCTCCAAGATCTAAAAAGTGGCTTTGATGCCCAAACAGCCAAAGAGTTCCTTTCACCACTATAATGAATTCCTCATTATAGTTTTTCCCAATTGTGTTTTGTTTTGTTTTTTTTAAAAGGAAAGGTCAGGGAGGGGGAGAATCAAACCTGTCACTCACTCCTCCTAGGAGTCATTCTGGTTTGGGATTTAAAGACACGAGCTTGTCCTGCTCCCCAGGCCAGGCCTCCAGCAGGCCAGGCTCTCCAAGGGGCTCACGCCTCAATTTGGAACGTGTCTCCTTGCTTATTCGTCTCTGCCACTGCACACTGTTACAAGCTGAAATGCAACAAAACCTGCCATAAAAACAGCTTGAGGCACAGAAGCCGGCATTTCTTCATATATCTCTAATATATCTGCTCCAAGCTGTACATACTCTGAATCTGATCCAGAAACACCCATCCAATGCAGACACTATGGATGACTGTCAAGGACAAAGTGCTTGCTTTTACAAGGTCTGTAGTGAAGGGTGGTTTGTTAGCATCTCTGCTTGGTGGCCTCCCAAAGAGCCTTTTTTTTCCCTTTCTGATCAATCATTTAAACATGACTCCTAAGAGGTAACAAGTTGAGGGTGAATGACAGGGCCCAACGGGGCAGAAACAGAAGGATGTGTCTCTGAAGAGCAGCCTGCCGTGCACAGAGCACCGGGGGCTGCAGGCCGCGTGTCTCACTGCTCCCCACTCGAGCTGCTGGCTGGCTACACATCAACTGTGCACAGAGGCTCACTGCCGGGCTGAGCTGACTCAACAATGGTCATCTTGGGCTTCTTCCGGGTTTCCTCCTACAAACAGAAGGTCAAGTAGAGGAGATTTTCAACCAAAAGCTGGGTAACTCACCTGACAGTTCAAAGCTGTCTAAAACCACCTACAGACACAGAGACTCTGACAAAAGCCAGGCTGGTCCCTCCCAAGCTTAGTCTGGGAGAAGCCACATCTTCAGGGCTGATAAGGAGTCAATCTGGCTCTGAATGTGGCTAGAACGCACATAATACATTAAGGGAATCCAGGGGAGAGAAACACCAAAACCCAGAAAAAAATCAAATAAGAAAGTGAGACATGATAGCACCATCATCACCTGGCACCTGGAATCCAAAAAGTCAGACTCATGTGTGGGCCTGCTCCTGGAAAGCCCCGTGACCTCCATCAGTCTGTTTCTTGACCACCCTAAACCTCCCTCAAAGAAATGTTAATGCCTCCTAAGAATGAGAAATGACAGGCTGTGGGAAGTAACGGAGGGCCTGTGGAGATCTTGCAGAGATCTAGCTGACCTGTGCACACTTTCAACTAAGGACCTAGGGTTTCTTCTTTTCTGGGTACACATTACTTAAATCTGCTCTCATACAAAGCAAGAAGGAAAAGGCATAGGCCACGTTTTGGCCAACAAATGAGCGAAGAGACTTGGAGGAAAGAAGGCAAAGAAAAGGGGTAGTGTGGGTGGGTCAAGAGGATTGCACTTAGTGCATATGTGGGTATGGAAGTGTCCCCAGAGCCTTAGGGTGGCTTACGTGATCTCGTGGCTAAGACTCCGGGGTCACCCTATGGATGCTGCCTGAACTGGAATGAACGGATCTGGGAAGAGTGGGTGGGGCTGGGCTAAGGTTAGTTCCTATGGGTGAGCGCCCCTTCAGCTCTGTGGGCTTCACTCTCCTTCATTTAAAAGGAGATCTTGGGATAAGATGACTACTGTCCCTTCTCTTATGATGCTAGCTTCTGGGTAGGTCTCCTGAAGACGCCCTTTGCTGCTGGATGCGAGTAAGGGGGACCAGAAACAAAGTATAGCCAGGGAGCACCCCAACAGGAGGTGACCCCGACCCAAGGAGGCCTCCAACACTTCAGGTTCCTCCCCTCTGGAGGATTAGGAAAGGGCATGCACAAAGACTGTGTGCCCAACACCCCTCCCCCCAAGCCCGGCCCCTCTGCTCACCCTCTCCTGCGCCAGCTTTTTCATCTCTTCCTGCAGTTTGTTCAGAATGTGTAGATTTGGCTTGTTCTTTTTGGCATACTGCTGAAGTTCAATCACACTTTTATCTGACATTTCCTGTTGAACAACATGACAGTGACAGGGAATGTCAAAAGCCAGACTTCCCTTCCAGGTCAAAGAATGGCTGAGGACAGAGTCCAGAAAAGCATATTTGCCCAACTTAGGCAGGGGCGGCCACGAGTGCTCTCGGTGTGTGGCAAGGACTAAAGGGATTACCCCTATTTGCAGATGAGGAAACTGAGGTTCAGCAAAGTTACAAGTTTTCTGCATCAAAGGCCACTTTCCTGTGGCCCCAGCTGACACTTCTAGCCTAGGTTCCTTCCCTCATCTCTTAATTCCCAATGTCAGGCCCCAGATGGTATTGGCCAAACAAGACCAATGCTAGGAGCATGGCTGGACAGAGGGGTCACGAAGTCCACGTGCGCAGACAAACAGGGTACCTCTTAAATGCTGCTGTTGCCTGGTACCGTGACAAATCCCAGCCATTGCAGAACGGCCTCAAACTTTCCAGTGGACTCATGGGAAGAGAAGTTCCGAATGCGGGAGGCGATAGGAGGTGGGGTGTGTGAAGGCCAAGGGGTCGAATTCAGACAAGGAAAGGAACGAAGGGGACAACAAAGGAGGCGATGGGCTATGGCAGAGGGAGGCAAACAGCAAAGCACTTGGTAAGAACATCACGGAATATGGAGGCGGAAGCCTACTCCTTATTAGCTGTTCCTTAAGTCCAAGTGATCTCACTGGTAAATCAAGGAGAAGACTTGTACTGTCTAAGCCTCCTTCAGGGGTTACGGAGAGCTCAAGGATTCTCTCTAACGGAGAGCTCAAGGATTCTCTCTAATCAGGTTGTGTGTCCGCACACGTGGACTCCACCAGAATCTCAGTGTTGAAAAGGAGCTCGATAGTTGAGTCTACCCCCTTTTGGAAGGGAAGTGGGCCTCCTCCCCACAACCTCCCTCTTCAATAGCTGTGAAGAGAGCTAGCCAGCCACCTTAACATGAGAAAATGCCAGCAAAGCTCAACACCGACCCAACACAGGGCAGATCCCTTCCCAAAAGCAGGGAAGAAGGAATTCTACAGCTGACCACAACCCAATGGCTGCCTTCCAACACCAGAGATACGGGGACACGGAACCTTGTTTTTGCCCTTGAGTAGAAGCAGACAGGGTTAACTGGGGACACAGCAGAGAGAAAACGCCTAAGGAGATAAGGCACTAAAGGTTATTATACCAAAAGGCTCATTTCATACAACAGAGCCAGAACAGATCTTAATGGATCTATCCCAAATTCTCACTTTTTTGCATGAAAATTTGTTCCAATTACATCTTTAGCAGAGATGTAGAGACTCCCTTATTTATCTGCAAACTCACATGAGAACCTCCTTCTGCCTTTATCCTAAATTAATCAGTCTGATGACTTGCCCTCACTGTCTAGAGTGATTTTCTCTGCCTACCTTCCCTTCATATTCAGCCAGTTCTACCTGATACCATCCCTACAGGAAGGCAGTCAAAGACAGACCCATAAATCCTCGAGAAAGTTCTAAAGCCCTTTTTCTAGAACTCAACTACATTTTCTCATTCCAAGCCCCCTTTGGTGGAGCCCTCCAATACTGGATTTGGCAAAGAAAGCCTGCCCGAGTCAGGCTCACAAACTTCTCTCCCCTGAAGACCACCCACCAACACGTCCCCGCCCTGGGGGCTGTCAAGCAGGAGAGGATTTCCCCAGGAAATCATTCAAAGACTGCTCCGTTACAAAAAGTCAGGCAAGTCTCTGCTGGAGGAAATCACCAGTCCAGAAAGGCGCTGGCTCACAGGACTGGGGACTGTGGGTGGGAAAGGCCCTCCTCAGGCCAGAGACAACGTGGTGCTTGACAGGCTCCGTTTCTGTGGCTAGCTTGAGGAAGGTTCACTCTGTCAACAGCTGTCGGGAGACTGTAGGAAGGATTCCTGCGGCCAGAAGAGGTTGGACCGAACCACTAAGATCCCTCCTTTCAACACCGAGATTCTGATAAATCTATTTGGCCTGAGACATTCGACTAATTCCCAGTCAAGTCTCTTGAGTTACTTGGCATCACAGGGGTACAAGTAAGTGGAAAACTCTCGGCCTAGAGGAGGAGCAGGAAAGGATGTGGACAGAAGAATGTGCTTCCACGGAGGGGAGGAGCACGGGTTTTCAGCTGGGGCCACAAAAATGAAACCAGAAGACCAGGAAGTGAACCGAGAGCTCCCAATTACCTGTTTCACCATCTTGTTGCTCTCCCGGCCATACATGCGCAATAAAGAGCCCCAGTTTTTGACATGTGGGTGCAGAAGTTGAAGGATTTTCTGAGAGGCTAATTGTTTCCCAACTCTCTTGTTTTTACCTGTTAAAAAAGGGAAGGAGAAAATGGGAAGGAACATTAGCAGACACAAAGCACAAGCAGACACAAGAGTGTGGAACTCCAGCAGAGGTCAAGCTCCTTAAATAGGAAAGAGCACAAAAAGGGAAAACCTAAGACAGCCCCAGAAAAGGATGCTCTCCTTACACCAGCCTCGGACAGTATGCTTCCCACATGTCATCACATATTCGCTCTTCTGGTTTTTCCCAGGGATCACTTCAAACTTGATGGTAGTGTCACCCATTCCATGGTTTCTTTAAGAGAAAGACAAATTTTGGTCACGCGGTGACAGGCTCCAGAGACTAAGATGCAGCAGCCCCAGCAGCCCCGAGCACACAGACCCCAGGATCCTCCTCTTACCTTTTAAGGCACTCGTGGAGAATCTGATATGGTGACAAAAGTCCTGCCTTACTGGTCAATTCATACACCCGAGAATCTTCAATACTGATATGGTTGAAATACTACAAAAACAATTTACAGCCATTCTTCAATTTGGAATTAAGCACAAATGAATAACTATACACGGGCTCCTTTTCAGGTAAAGACACGATGCTCTAATAAAATACTGACCAGAGCAGGAAACCACAAGCACTGCTCTTGGGTTTCTTAGAATTTTGAATCAAAACTCCCTTTGTCCACTGTGAAGCATCTGTGCTAAGAGATCCTAACACGAGGAGGCAAATTTGGTCTTACGAGTCACTGCGACTTAATGGGATGAAACCCGCAACTAGACTGTGGCTCAGGACAGAGTTTAACTTGTCTGAAAGAAACAGGATGAGTAAAGGGACATAGGGTGGGGGCAGGGAGGGGGCTCTGCATCTTAAGATTATTCACACTTGGGAATACATCCTATCAGTTGCCAAATCTTTCCATTTCTACCCCTGCCACCTCTTGTATGAGATCCTCTCCCCCCAGTCACAGCTGCTGACATGGTTCAGACCCTTATCCCCTCTTTCCTCTAGACTAGGCAAGAGGCTTCTAATTGGTCTCCCTGACTCAAGTCTCTGGCCAGGACAGGCTGTCCTTCCAACTGCTGCCAACCTGCCCCCCCCCCCACTCCCTCTCTCTCCTCACATAAAACGAAATCCTGTGTGGCTCGAAAGTCTTTCCCAACCTACCCCTGACCTGATTCCAGCTTCATCACCATCTCTGCCCCTCATGTACTTGTGGTCCAGCCAAAATGGCCTTCTCTCTTCCTCTCCATCTCCTGTCTCTCTATGTTTGCAAAGCTCTCCCATGTCTGGAAAGCACACCCTACTGACGTTGGAGAATCCCCCCTTTCCTTCAAGCCCTATGTGAAGCCTGTGCCCTGATCTCCTCAGCTGCCTAGAAGGTGCCTAACACCTTCACCCCACGCTCCTGGAACCAGAGTGGAAGGTATCCTAAGTATGAGTGAAGAAGGAAGAAGTGTGTTTAGCCCGGCCCCAGAGAGGGATGCAAGAGCTGGATCTAAGTAGCGGAAGGGCTTGGCCCCAGAACAAAGAACCAGGAGCAGTGGGTGGATGGTCCCAAAAAGCCACTTTAGTCTGGATGTCAGCAAAGAGCCCCTGACATTTAAAGCCATCTGCAAGGGAGCTGGAGTGCGCAATGGACTGGCCCTTGCTGGAAGCCTGTAAGCAGAGCGGGATGACAGGGACTTCATGTTCTAGTGGAGACTGCGGGTCCCACACGTGGAGTCCAAGGACCTGGGCCGAAATCTGGCCTGTCACTTTACTGTGGTCTGAATAGTGCCCTTCAGGTCACTTCCTCATCTGTAAAAGGAGAAGGCTACACTCGAGGACTCTCTCAATTCCTCTGGCTTAGGGGCTGAACTAGAGCGGCACCGAGGTCCCTTCCAACCCTCAAATTTTGTGATTCTGCAAGGGCTGGAAAAACCTCCATATCAGAAATTTCCAAAAGCGATGGCTTTTCTTGTTTCATTCACCACAGTCAGTGTAGGGATCGAAGATTTTCATTACCAAGGAAAAAACAATCTGGCAAGCCATAGTTTCTGGACCACCAAGGAATAAATGGGACCATGAAGATGAACTAACTCAGTCCTCTTTGTTTTATAGAGTAGGAAACTGAGGCCCAGGCCAAAATGGTAGGTAAAGCTATGACAAGTGAGCCCAGGTCTTCTGAATCCAAACTCTCCAGACCTCTCCTTCCTGCAGACAGCAGAGGAATAAAGATAGGGAGGAACTCCTTCTGTGCAGGAGTTTCACAAATACTTGTCCATTCAATGATTTCTCCACTGAGGAGGAAAGGGCAACTTTGAAGAAAGTATCCACGGGAGGATCACATTTGGAACCCTAAGGAGGGAGGGAGGGAGGTTTGCCAATAAAGTAAGAGATTTCATTATCATCATCAAGAAGGCTAATGGGATCAAGAGGCCTAAACCCACAGCTACAGAGGTGAAGGACAAAAGAGAAAGCTACAAAAGAAAAACCGAAATTAAGCCAGACCACTAAAGATAAGTATCAAAAAACCCAAGCACAGTTTGGTAGGAACTCAATGAGGGAGGCTAAAGTAGGGCAAAATGATATGTTCTAAATCCCTCGCCAACCGTAACAAAAGTCTCCAATGATGCAAAAGGACCACAAAACACTTAGAGCAAGTCCTAACACACACTTAAATTCATAATTTTTCAGGAATGTCTACTCTATGGTGTGAGTTTAAACCTGGACTGATTAAAAAAAAAACCACTCAACTTGATGCCTTTCATTCAAAACACAAAGAGTGGCATCTTCAGGTAGTTAAGGCCCTCACAACCACACTACTGTGAGAATCACCACTCTGGGGATGGGAAAGAGGAGTCATGTCAAGAAGCATTTCTTGAGCACTTACTATGTGTCAGAGCCTGTGCTAGGTGCTGGGAATACAACCATAAGCAAAAAGAAAGACAACGGCTGCCCTCAAGAAGCTTATATTCTGGGGCAGCTAGGTGGCGCAGTGGATAGAGCACCAACCCTCAAGTCAGGAGGACCAGAGTTCAAATCCAGCCTCAGACCAAACACTTGACACTTAATAGCTGTGTGACCCTGGGCAAGTAAGTCACTTAACCCCAAATGCCTAAAAATTATAAAAAAAAAAAAAAAAAGCAGCAGCAGCTTATATTCTAACCAGGGAAGACACCACACAAAAGGGCATTGACAAACTCGGGAGGGAAGTGTCCATGTGGGAGCATGGTCCAGTCTGGAGGATGAAGATGCCTGGTCTGGGCCCTTCCTCCAAATGGAAGCTCCGGGGAGAATTCACCAAAGGAAGAGGAGGAGCCACAGGTTAAAGAGAAAAGGAGACAAGATTTCTCTGGGGGTGGAAAAGGGCAGACAGCTCCATCCTTAGTAAAGGAACAAGAATGACCCTGGTCATTACAGATGTGTTGTCAACACTAGGGAAGTTCACATCGATACCCTGGAGACACCAGCACAAACTCCAAGGACTTCCTTAATTAACAAAGACTACCAGAAGCTTGGTGAAGAAATCAGGCTGGGCCAGTTTACTACGTGTTATGCAGACTTATAGGTCACCTGGCTGAAGAGGAGACAGTAATTCAATTCAAACACCTCATTCAAAACATTTATTAAGCACCTCCCATGCACAAGTCCCCCACAGGGGGAGGAGGCTATACTTAGATGAAGTCCCTATTCTTATGGGAAAAGGGAGGAAATGCGTACCAAACACCCGAGACAGACAGAGGCAGAAATCTGCTTAAGAGGGTACCTGGGCAGCCCATGGAGACCCCTGGAGGATACCATCACGTCCCACTGCAGAGATCTTGGCAAGGTTCACAGAGAGGTGGCCTTTGAGCTCAACCTTGGAGAACGCCACAGAAACAAGGGGAAAAAGAGAGGAGGAGGAGAGACCATGGCCTCCCCAGCTTAGAGGCAGGAATGAAAAACTGTTTGTAGTAACAAAAGGTTCTCTTGGATTGAACCAGGAGTTGAGGACATAAAAGAAAAAGTGAGACAAGTTTGCAAGGCTTAGGTTGGAACTAGACACAGTTCCAAAAACAGTTAACTAAGGTGGGAAACACTCTCCAGACATCTCCCCTGGAACTCATTAGAGTCAATATTTTTACTAATGACGCAGAGATAGCCAGAAAACCTGGAAGTCATGTTCAGTATTAACCACCATCCTTGTGTGCGTGTACACACACACACACACACACACACACACACACACACACACACACACA